TAGACAGATAAAACAAAAGCAGGGAGAGCATGAGAGAGAGAACAAGAGAGAGAAGAGAGAGAGAGAGAGAGAGAGATGAGAGAGAGAGAGAATGAGAGAAGAGAGAGAGAGAGAGAGAGAGAGAGAGAGAGAGAGAGAGAGAGAGAGAGAGGAGAAGAGAAAGAAACGAAAGAGAGAGAGAGAGAAAGAGAAAGAAAGAACGAGAGAGAGAGAGAGAGAGAGAGAAACGAGGGTCATGACTTGGTATATCTTCACCAACATCCTTTCATTTGCATCAATAAAACACATATTCAGACTTTACAATATAACACCTTATTTTAGTCACTCTACACACATGCTTCATACAGTTTCCGATCCTTCCCATAACACAATAACACGATCTTAAACGCAAATTTACGCATGAGATATTTACAAACATGCAAATTCGCATTTTAACAACTCCATCACCCTCTTTATTATGGGTTAACAAACAGTTAGTGAACGAAAGGTGTAGTTGTGCATGAGGGCGTGGGTGGCTGATGGGTGTGGAATGGGCGTGGGTTGGAAGGTGTGGCGAGAGATGCTCGGAGAATTCTTTTGAATCTGTGTATATTTTTTTTTCTTTGTGTTTTTTTATGTAGTGATGATAACAGTGGAGATAACAAATAGTACGACGGTAATATTACCAATAACAAATATGGTGCTATTACTGTTACTAATGCGATTACTCTTAATACTACTATTACTACTATTACATATTATATATTATTTATTATTATTTTTTTTTACTACTGCAAATAACCCTACTGCTTCTGTTACTACTTTTACTTTACTACTACGACTACTATGACTACTACTACGTACTACTACTACTACCCTTAGTAATAAAAAAAAAGTAATAATGATGATCACAGGATGGAAAAGAAGACAGAGGAAAAGTAGTAGTAGTGATAATAGAGGAATAATAATAATAATAATAATAATAATAATAATAATAATAATAATAATAATAATAATAATAATAATAATAATAATAATAAATATAGTAAAAATAATCATAATAAAAATAATAATGATAACAATAATAATAATGATAACATAATATAATGATATAGATAATGAAAGATAAAATAATAATATTGATAATAATAAATAAACAAATAAATAAATATATAAATAATTAAGTTTAAAAAAATAAAAGGCAGTAGTTGTAGAAGAAAAGAAAAGAAAAAAAAACATGAGAACGAGGCCACAGCGCACAAAACGATATGTATGGTGTGGAAAAAAAGGATAATTGTTTAGTCCTCGCGATGGCCAATTACTTAATAAAATCCCGTTGTCCTTGAGGAATAACTGCTTGAAGAAGGGTATCCTGTTTTATCTAAGCCTCATTTGCAATGATAAATTACCCGCGAGGCTCACAGGGATGACCCGAGTTCTAATGATATGTAAATTAGCCACACCAAAGCGTCCTTTTGCGGGTCACCCACTCGCCCTCGCCGTCTGCAGCGGGGACCCAGATGGCGCTCGGGAAGGCTGGTGAGGTGTTGTTTGTTTGTTTGTTGTTGTTTTGATGTTGTTGTCATGGTTTTGTTGTTTATGTTGTTGTGTTTGATGTTTGTGATATTTTTGTTATGTTGTTTTTGTTTGTGTTTTTGTTTTGTTGTTATTGCTGTCGTTGTTTTTGTTGTTGTTTGTTATTGTTTTTGTTGTTTTGTTATTTATTTTGTTGTCATTGTTTTTGCCGTTTTGTTTTTTACTTTGTGTTTTCCGTTTGGATAGTAAGGGTTAAGCAAGCCATCCACATACCAGGCGAACAGGTACACAGGATAAGAGAGAGAATTAGTTTTTACGATCCGGCACAAAGCAAAGTGCACAGAAGACACTCCTCTCGACGTCGTAATGTGAAGTGAATCCTTCGTTTGCTCCAGATGTGTGTGGCAGCGTCTTGGGTCAATCAAGGTTGGATTGGGTTAAATGCTGCGTCACGGTCGTTGCACAATATAAGAGAGTGGAAGCGTGACAGCTGGACTTGCTTGCAATGTTGCGCGACAAAGCACACGTGTTTGGTGTCACACGGGGTGAGTCGAAGCGAATGTTATATCGAGGCTCAATTCCATGAATTCTCGGTTTAGAGTGACCATATCGTGTTCTTATCTCTAACATATTAATAACATATTTCTAACATATCTAACATATCTCTAACCGTGTTCTTATCTCTAACACATTCCTATCCTCTCGAAATATTTTGATATCATACACCTAAATCCCCTTAAAACACCGCATTCAACCCCATTACTACAAAATGTCTTGGCATCCCCGACCACCGGTATGAATACTACGAGGAATGACGCGGGAATGACGTCACGGGACAATGACGTCACAAGCAAGCCAGGAGAACGGGGCCGAGGCGCGCATGCAGTTCTCCTTGGGTCGTTAGTCAGGAAAATAAGAACCAGTTGTGGACTTGCCTTTGGACTGCCGTTTCCAGCGTCTTCGATCTAGTGCAACAGCCTCCCATCTGGCATCAAATGTGCTCTTTAAAGTATAGATAATATTGGCATATCATTGTGGAAAAAGAAAATATTGAATTGAAAAGGGAGAAGAGCATATTGGATGATTAAGAGTCACTTTGATGATGATGACGATGATTATGATGATGATAACGACGACAATAAAAACGAAGATAAAAAAAAACAATAAACAACACAAAACAAAAACCAAACAAGTCACACCATAAACAGACTCATCAGACGTGAACTTCTGCGTCCTAACAACCATGAATATTCATCCTAATGGAACCTTACTAACGATACGCCCACAATAAACGCCCTTAACCCACCGTAGGCGTGCAGGGCTCTGTCGAGTGTAATTTTAATATTGAGGAACTTGTTGATAATAGCACGGTAGAGCTGGCAAGGCAATGTTTGTGTGTGTTTATGTGCGTGTCTGGGGTTTTAAAGGGGGGGGGGGGGGGGAGAGAGAGAAGGAGAGAGTAAGAGATAGTGAGAGAAAGACGGAGAGAGAGAAAGGGAGAGAAAGAAATAGAAGGAGAAAAATATATGTATGTATAGAGAGAGAGAGATAGAGAGCGAGAGAAAGAGAGAGAGAGAGAGAGAGAGAGAGAGGAGAGAGAGAGAGAGAGAGAGAGAGAGAGAAGAGAGAGAGAGAGAGAGAGAGAGAGAGAGAGAGAGAGAGATAGATAGAGAGAGATAGAGAGAGAGAGAGAAGAGAGAGAGAGAGAGAGAGAGAGAGAGAGAGAGAGAGAGAGAGAGAGAGAAAGAAAGAAAGTACTTAAGCAAAGTTCACAAAAGCAAGCAAGGAGAACACACTTTTCACGCGCCTCTACACCTCCCATTCAAAGAGCACTTTACTCCAAATTCACAGCGAAACTGACAGCCACACACCCGCCTCATCTCCTCATCTGAAGGTCACTGCTTGTGTCAATGAATCATCATCTCATTTACGATTTACATTCATAAACAGCGCGGCAAGAACAGAGCATACGTACAGTGGCATCACCATACCGACACCCACTCAGTGTAAGCTCTGTCTGATTCGTTGGCTAATGGTCAGAGCAGATGTAAGGGGATTTAGCCGGTTCCTGTGTTGGGTTATTTCCTTAGATCCATTGGCAAAATGCAAGAATATTTAATGGTGAGATGGTACACGGGGACATAAAAATTAAATATTAATTAATTAATTAATTAATTAATTAATAAATAGACATATAGGTAAAGTTCGTTTTGAAATCACCGCGTTCAGATAATGGTAGATAAAATCCACTAGTCCAAAGAAATTCTAAATAAATCCCCTATATTAATTTTTTAAAGTATGTAATATATATAAGCACACGCACTAAAAACACAAACGCACACTTTCAACCAAAACATTTGTTTACAATTTGAGAAACCGTGTGAATGAAGCCCGACATATCTCATTTCCATTCATCACGAGGCAAGTAGTAGAGGAGAATGAACACATCCGGGTATTTTATTCTTCTTGTGTAATAAAACTAATTGTCCGATTGTTCCTTTATAGACTATGTTTTTTCTTTCTTTCTTTCTTCTTTCTTTCTTTTTTTTTTTTTTGTCTTTCATTCTTTCTTTCTTTCTCTTCTTTCTTTCTTTCTTTCTTTCTTTCTTCTTTTCTTTCTTTCTTTCATTCTTTTTCATTCTTTTTTTTTTTCTTTCTTCTTTCTTTTCTTCGATTCCTTTCTTTCCCTTTTTCTTCTTCTGGCAGGAAAACACTAACGTACTTCATAGCCATATGCTTTGTTCATCTGCACGGTTGGAGTCTGACCGATGCATTTTGGTATCTGAACATTTTAACTCTGCCGAAAGCTACTCTGAATCATGAAGCAAGCAAGACACGACATTCAGAGCTGCCGCCACTGGGACGGGTAAGTGCGGTATGCCTTGGCCACGTGGACGTGTGTGTATGTGTGTGTGTGTGTGTGTGTGAGAGAGAGAGAGAGAGAGAGAGAGAGAGAGAGAGAGAGAGAGAGAGAGAGAGAGAGAGAGAGAGAGAGAGAGAGAGAGGAGAGAGAGAGAGTGTGTGTGTGTGTGTGTGTGTGTGTGTGTGTGTGTGTGTGTGTGTGTGTGTGTGTGTGTGTGTGTGTGTTTGAGTGTGTGTGTTTGTGTGTGTGGTGTGTGTGTGTGTGTGTGTGTGTGTGTGTGTGTGTGTGTGTGTGTGTGTGTGTGTGTGTGTGTGTGTGTGTGTGTGTGTGTGTGTGTGTGTGTGTGTGTGTGTGTGTGTGTGTGTGTGGTGTGTGTGTGGATGTGTGTGTGTGTGTGTGTGTAGTGTGTGTGTGTGTGTGTGTGTGTGTGTGTGTGTTGTGTGTGTGTGTGTGTGTAATTCATGTTGAACAGATTGCAACAGGAACGACGAAGGGAAGGGCAAGAAAACACACAAATATGCCGAAGGCCTTTTCACCATATACTCCTCTATGTACCTCATGTAACATATGCCCTGACGAAGCAATAGTGAAAAGGCCTTCGGCATATTCGTGTGTTTTCTTGTTCGTCGTTCCTGTTGCAGTGTGTGTTGTGTGTGTGTGTGTGTGGATGAGTGTGTGTGTGTGTGTGTGGATGAGTGTGTGTGTGTTACGAAACTGATAACATTTCCTACTTATCAGCGTTTTGCGATGCGATGATAACAAAACAATATCTCGACATTCTGATAAGCTTTTTTTCGTACGTGTGATAACTATCGGAGACAATTTATGTAACATCACGACGGTTTTTCATACACATGTCTGCACATAAGTAAATATACATTATTTTCGCTTTCTTCAATTCAAAGTAGGATAAGATTCTATTCATAGACGAAATTAATTTTCAAAGGAACGTCCAAGCATTTTATCTTTTTTTTTCTGCTGGCAAGTCATGATGTTTAGACATTATCAACAAATCATTACCAAGTCTACGCGTGCTGCCTGTCACATGAAATGCATTTTTTGACGTCCGACAAGAATCTAAACAGAGTTAAAAAACGTGATATATCATAATATGACTTCGTGGGCGTGAATACACAGGGGATGAGGAACTTGTGCAGCATATCAGTTGGACTGTGCTATGCCACGTTGTTTACTTTCTCTCTCTATCTATCTCTCTCTCTCTCTTCTCTCTCTCTCGTCTCTCTCTCTCTCTCTCTCTCTCTCTCTCTCTCTCTCTCTCTCTCTCTCTCTCTCTCTCTCTCTCTCTCTTCTCTCTGTCTCTCTCTCTTCTCTCTTCTCTATCTTCTAGCTCCTCTTTCTCTCTCTCTCTCTCTTCTAGACAATAGATATATAGACAGATAGATAGACAGACTTCAATTCACTTTCTCTCTACTCCTCCTCTCTCTCCTCCCTCTCTTCCCCTCTCTTCCCCTCTCTTTCCTCTCCCCTCCTTGCCATAATCTATCTCTCAGTCTATCTATCTATCTCTCAGTATCTATCTATCTCTCAGTCTACTTATTTATCTAGAGATGAAATAACAAAGGAGGCAGTTGAATCTACATACTAAGGAACCAATGACCTTAAAAATAGAGGGACCAACGCATAAATAATCATAAAGTAATTCAAGCCGGATAAAAATGATGGATCGGACATAAGTAGGCCTACTGTGGGACTAAAGAGGACATGGAAAACGGGAAACCAGAGGGGAAACTACAGAGATTTGTGGTTAGATTAAGCCAGAGGTTTCCAAACGATGGATCGCGGAGAAAAAAATATATATATTGTAGGTCAATGTGCTAGGTGCTTGACAGTGTTCATATTATGAAAAATTTATGAAGTGTATTCAGTTAGGCTAAGAGAGATTGTTTAGGTTTGGATACACTTTAGTTTAAAAATATGTAGTTGGAAAAATGGCTCATGTTGGGAGGGGAGGTGAGAAAGGGATCGCGAGTATAAAAAGATTGAAAACGGAAAAACCTTTTGGGAGAAAAAATAGAGGTAATAATAAGGTAATATTAGAGGTAATAAAGAAGGTTGATGCTTTCTTGAAGAAAATAGGAGAGGCAGAGATCCAGAGGAAAAAAAAATATTAGAGAAACGGTATTTGTGTTTTGGTAAGAAAAGAAGAAGGCAGAGATTAAAAAGTAAGTCTTATGACCCCATGCTCCATTTTCCTTCTTATTCTCTTTATAGAGGTGAAGATGTACATGATAGGTAGGTGATGATCTTTTAATGACTGACAGGTTGGCGATGATAATTATTAATAAAAAGTGTCGGTATCAACCAGCTATAACCACCTCTCATGGACATCGTCGCCATCTTCGCCTCAATTAAGCAATAATGACAATAATAAGAATGATGATAATAATAAAAGATAATAATGAAAATGATAATAACAGTAATAATAGTGATAACAATGATTATAACAATAATTATAGAAATAACAACAATGATAATAACAATATTAATCGTAATAATAATAGTGATAATTATAAGAGTAATATTAATAATGATAACAATAACAATAGTAATGATAATAATGATGATAACACTAATAATCGTAATAATAACAATGATAGTAACAATAACAATAATAATGATAATAATGATAACAATAATAATCATAATAATAACAATGATAATAACAATAACAATAATAATGATAATAATAATAATAGTAATAATAATAATGATCATAATACTAAGGCCGGAGATACGCGTACGACAGCCATATCCGATTTCTCGCGGTTAGACGTACGGCATAATGACAACAACAGCAACAACTATAGTAATAATAACAACAACAAAGGCATAGAGTATGATTATCGGCTGTTTCAATCATTCCATATATTTGCAAAGGGAAAGAAAAGTGTTCAACAAAAATAAATCAGGGAACAGGAAAGCCAGAAAGACAAAGAGGAGAGATAGAGAGAGAGAGAGAGAGAGAGAGAGGAAGAGAGAGAGAGAGAGAGAGAGAGAAGAGGAGAGAGAGAGAGAGAGAGAGAAGAGAGAGAGAGAAAGAGAAACAATGGCAGAGGTTAAAGTTGAACAACGTGATGCGCAAAACCCGACGGTGCGGAGGA